TATCTTCTCACTTTGTTATCGGGGAACATCCTTCTGTAAAACACGCCTTCAACGAAGTCAGGAACCTTCTTCTTCTTGGAGTTATGCAGCAGAGTTCAAGTATTGGCAACCAATACTGCTTGCTCGTGTCGCTCAGAATAGGCCGAACCCATTTTCTTCCTGGAAAGGCCCTAACAGTCGCACGTAGGAACTTTCAAATTTTTTGTTGACACAACTGAATCTCCATGCAAGTTTTGTGCGGTATGTCGAGGACTCAATTCGTTGGCCTTCTTTATTTCTCCTTCATCTGGAGCTAGAGGTCAGAATCCACGACCATCGTCATCAGCTCCTTTACCTCAGTCTTAGAAGAGCTGAAACCATGGCTGAAAGTGCACCAGAAACTGAGTGTTGCTGCTCAATGTTTTGCACGTAATGAGTGGGATTCGTTGGCTGTTTTTCTTTGCTTGAGTATACACGCTCAGGCGATGTTTTCTGATCAATCATGTTCGAGCAAAAGTTTTGGCTCAAAGAACATCCGCTCGCTGACGGCTAAGGTTTCGCAATATGCGCACTGAATTGCTCTATCGAATGGATGCTCTCCCATATTACGAGGTTGAGTTTCAGCTGAGAAACAAAGCCACTAAAGGAAGCGACATTTCAAAGTTACCAACCTAATAGGAGCCTAGATATGAGTTATTTCGGCGTGAGGCAAGGAATAATGCTTATGAGTAAACTAGTGATTAAATGGAGCGTCAATGAATTTTTCTTCTTATTACGCGAACAAACACAAGCACCATTTCGCTAAAGCCGGAGTATCTAATCTGCTTATAGCTGTTGGCTTGACAATCAATGTGGACCTGAAAATGGTTGGTAATCTTATCGAGCAAACATTCAATAGCACAGAGTGAATTCATTTTGCGAGAGAAAACGGAAATGGCGGGAAGGGCGAAATTGGCACTAGCTTGCACATACATGCCGCTTTTCGCAAGTTAGTGTCTAGGTTAGTGTCTAAAACATTCGCACAATCCCCACGGCCTTCACATCATTCTCTCGGCGAATCATTGGAAAGGTGCCCTTCCGGGGAAAAAACTTTGGAAAATATTTGTGATATGTGGCTGGGAGGCGGGGGGGGGGTGGGGGGAGTGGCCGATAGGTGGGGAAAACAATGAGCTAGAATAAAAAAAAATTTTCAACGAACCTGCGAATTAAAGGCAAACACCGAGAATGAGCAGCGACTAGTAGGAGAGATGGATACCACGTTGGTGTATGAAAGCGTACGCAATACCGTTTATAGATTAAACAGTCTTCGGTCATGAGTGTTTTTCTTTTTTGGCCAAAATGGTCGCGATAGGGCGTAATTCATTACGAACGTGCTAACTCAACCATCGAACCGGGGCTGCCAACGCTTCCACCCACCGCTGTCAAGATATCGGAGAGAAATCAGCGGTGCTCTCGTCGAATCCGGAAGCGTGCGCTCTCTCGCGTGTTTTGTTTCTTTCTCTTGAACTCTGCGCATGTGTCTCCGCCATTTCTATGCACCACATCCGTGTCGTTACTGTAGGTTAGGGCCTTATATCCACGTTCCCTGTATTGATGTTCTCTTTGTTCGTCACCTTTCCACTTCACTTTTCACGCGTCATCACGACGAGCATGCCTGCACAGACTTTTTGCCCGACGGGCTGCCATGTGGTCTCTCTATTGTTTGAGAAAAAAAATAGCCAAAATTTATAGCCAAAGATGTAGCAGCCATCCGTACTAAAGCTAGCTCTTATTCATAGAATGTGCCGATAAATTAAGTCAATCGTAGAATTTTGTCAGGAGAGTTCAGGCTATTGATAAAATCTGCGAGGAGTGTCTGTAAGGATTGGAATCAGTGCGGTTGGATGGACAGAAGGTCAAAGAAGGGATTCAGAGATATGGCCCAGTGTGTCGTAACTCAGTACAGGTAGCACGGCTATTCCATAAAGACAGCACCTTTCAGACCCCAATGAAAGTATAGTCTACGTAAACAGACCGACCATATTCCCTAGATCTTGGATCTGTAATTTGTGTGAAGGCAATTCAATTTAACGCTTTTATATAATGAAAGATCGCCAAAAATTGTTTTTCAGCACACAGTGTTGTCCGGTGAAGAATCGCTTCGTGAGTTGTGCGAATGGCGCAACGACTCAAGGTGAAAATATCGCTGATATAGGAGGTGAGTGAGTGCAGTTCCATCACTTTGATTAGGATTTTGAAAAGGATAACATTGGGAAGGGTCACGTTGATACGAGTTCAACACCAATCCAATATGGGTCATTTTAATGCATTACCTATCGACACTGACCAGGCAGAAGTCATGTGAACGATTTCCTTCGAACTGTAGGACAGAGACCCAGAGGACAATCGATGTGACACTTCAGTGCATGGAAATCGCTCGACAAGGGCGCTAGGGTCTTGCAAAAGTTAATGCAGGAGCTACAACATTCCATGCCTACAGCAGGCTGCTGTCTGGCGCCCTCTCATCTGTTGCGCTCTCTCGCCTCACACTCTCCTCTCGCGCTTAGTCTCTCATTGCCTTAGCACAGCCACATTGGCAACGGTGAGGATCCCTGAACCTGAGCATCTTCGACAGATTTATCTCCTTTTCTTTAATGCCGTCCCGCTACGCACCAGTACTTTCGTATTTGTGTGCAAGAACCACTTTCCCATTCCTGGGCATGCATTTGAAGGAATCATTCACAGAAACAACATGATTCTCTGTCTCTGCATAAATTGATGGTAGAGACATACTTCACGATAGGACCAAAAAGAATTTTTATTTTTTGGAAAACAATCAGAATTACTGCATTTTTCGGGAAGTTTCGCCGCCTTCAGTAGCTCAAGTTTGAATGCTTTATTCCCGAAAAGCTACAGGAAATGCTACATTTGTATATCATGGAAAGCGTAGTTTTCTCCTTCTGTGCTATTCTGTTCCATTCGATCAACTATTCTCTTTTCATTTCGAAGTCTTGGCGGGCTACATTTGATCCTGTTCCCTCCAAATTCGGCCAAAAAGGCAGAGGGGGTGCGCAATGAAAGCAAGTGTGGTGGCTGGTAATTGGTGTTTGAAAAAAGATTAAGTGGGAGTTCTCGCCAGAGCAAATTTGCGTGAAATTGCTGAGAGGGTCGCTTTGAGATGAGGCATAATCGACAAGCCCTTTCCGAGTACCTTCCCCCTTCACAAAGACCAGTAGTTTATAGAGTGATAGCTGATTTTTAGTAAATGATAGTTGTAATTACTGTCAACTGATCGAATACAACTGTAACAGGTTAATCATTTCATTGGCAAAAAACATTTGCATTTTCTGGAGGCCGTCGTCACTTGTGGTGTATGGTCTGCACCCGACACTTTCTGGCTTTTTGAAGGGGAGTATGTACGTTGGTGAAGGCGAAAGTTCCAAGAGATGTCGAAAAGTGGGTGGGTACCACCGACTCTTGTGCCCATTGTTGCACAACCCCACCTCCCACTTCGCACCGTACACAAGTTGAACTATCTGTGCTGCGAAACGTGCTCCAAACATTTTACACAGCAGACCTACTGCCTACCAACCGTTACTTTTGCAACCATCTGGGTGGCCCTTTTAACCTCGAAACCCAACTTAATGGTAAAACGACCTGCGAAATCTCATCCTACAGAACTCCACTATTTTTAACATTCGGACCTTTCGAACTTTCTTGTTGTTGGCAAAGGTATGGGGATTGTAAAAATATTTATTTCGGTTGAAAGTGCTTTGCTCGAACCGGGATATGCGCTTTTGAATTTCGGCCTCAAAATTCGAACAACCCAATATTCAGAAAACTGGGTGGTTAAAGTGGGATGGTTGTATCATTCGAGCTCGATAGGTGGAATATTGAATCGTCCCAACTTTTCGATAAAATCTCCGATGGCCTAAACGCGGTTTATGGTTAGGATTTACGTACTGAGGCAGCAAGCGCCTCAAGCTCCCTAGCGGGCTCGACATTTCGTTACGAGAAAAATTAGCAAGAGAGTTTTAATTCACCCAGAAACCCGTGAGAAACCCGCTACTCCAATAAGACAACTATTCCTCATTTGTATTCTCTTCCCCCACCCTCCCCCCACGCGGACCAAATACGAGCCCCCCTCGCAGATCCTGCAACATTTTGTTGACCTTAGGATAGGATTTAGTGGAATCTTTCTAATGACGCACCCACCGCATAATGTGGTCGCTTGACCACGTCTTCGCTATACACTGCGTTTCATAATTATAGGTCCACCCTAAATTTTTGCTACCCCAAAGTTGCTGTGCATTTTTTGGAAATGCTGCTATCACCATTAGATTCCTCATCACGGAAAACCTTCATAGTGTTTTTCTGACAAAGTTCCCCCCTCAAGTAACCCAATTAACTTTTTTAGAACGAATTTTCACCGTTTCATGAATATCGGGCCACTCATAAAA